TGTGTGTGTGTGTGTGTGTGTGTGTGTGTGTGTGTGTGTGTGTGTGTACATATCATCAAAGGTCAGGTACCATTGCAATTATTATACTTTATGTGTTCTATTGTTGGAGGAAATTCTTCATTGATAAGAATCCTGATACATGGCTAAACAAGTTCCTAAATGGTTAAGAGCACTTGTTGCTCTTGGAGGGGATCTGGGTTTGATTCCCAGCACCCACATGGTGACTTAGAGCCTCTTGTAGTAATTCTAGTTATAGGGAATCCAATACCTTCTTCTGACCTCCTCAGGTACCAGCAAATACATATGTGCAGAAAAAATACTAATATACATAAGAGAAATCTAAAAAGCAAACCTATTGGTCCATATGTTCACTATCATTATATATGGCATCACAACAATAGTTAAATGGCTAATATTTCAAAGAAATTTTAAAAATAATTAGAGAATGTTTTATATTAATTTTAGTCACTTAAGATAATGGTAGAAATATTTTCACTTTTTAAAAGTTTCACTAAATGGCAATATAATAGAGCCACATGAATGAGAAAAAAGATGAGGAAGAGGGCATGTATTACTATAATCAGCTAATATGTATCACACAGTAAAAGGAAACAAGAAGTTTACAGTGATTTCTCTTTCAGGAAGTCGGACCACCTGAATGCTTGTTCATCCTTGATTTGTTGCTCTGAGATACAGCAAATCTATATATCTAGACACTGACTGAAATTGACCAAGAGGAAAACATAAATTCTTATTGACTTAATTTGCTATTGAAAATTGCAGTCAATAATCATGAAAAGTAAATGGCTGCACAGTATAATACTAGTTGTCCAAGAAAAGATTAAAATTCAAGTAATCTTCATTGATTAGCTCAAGACAGTAACTAAAATGAAAATCCATGACCCAATTACCATGTAAAGTAGTTAGCATAAGATTTTAGTTGTTTTGTTTTATTTGAAGTCTCAGTCTATTTGATGGTGCCCATTTAATGGTCAGATAAATCACTTTAAATGTGCGGGGGTACTTTTAGTACTGCATATGTCTCTTGTCAATATCACCAAAGAATAGTTTAAGTGGGTTTTCTGAAGTGTATTACATCAGCACTTCAATATAGCAATTTAAGGTGAATGGATGTTTACATCTTGGCATTGACATACAGCATTTTTAAAGCCAATTTATAATGTTTTACACTAGTCTTTAGGGTATAATTTATTTCTTAGTGTATATGCATAGTATTTCTTTTAAATGTGGAATGTATTGTTTATTGTGCCATTTATTCCTGGACTGCTTAAGTCTTAGAAGAGAGTATCATGAAAAATAAAGGGGTTGAAGTCTACATTGTATTTTCTATAAAACGGCTACTTGACAATAATCTTGATAGGTTTCAGATATTACATTTTAGCACTCTCATTAAGTATCTACATTGGTCATAGTTTTCTACTTCTCAGACAGAAAGAGTCTTAGGGATGTATACAAGTACATATATCCATATGTATGCAACAAGACTTTTTCCAGTTCATGCTATGTATCATTCTGTGTTTATATATATTATATTCAAATAGGTAACAAATCATCATGTTATGCATCACTTTAGCTTAAGAGACAATAATAGTGATGAAAATTCCAAATCAAACAAGATGAGAGTTTATGGCACCCTATACTTTTTGTTTCCACAGAAATTCATCCAGGAGAACAAACAGGAAAAAAGAAGAAAAGCTGTTTCTTCCTGCACTTTCCCCACTGGCAGACGACCCTCCAAGTCGCAGAAATGTCAGTGGCAACAATGGGCTCTTCAGTCAAGACAAAAACATCTCTATGGCTGGACAAAATACCTCTACCAAACCTAAAAGAAGTGAAGGCAAATTCTGTGCTACTTTCAAAGGGATATCAATAAATGTAAGTATGTTAGAAGAAATACTATGTAAAGTAAAAATAAGTTAATGTAGTTCAACTAGTGTGACTTTCCATAAGGAATGTTACAAGGGAGGAGGAATAGGCACAGAAGAACCAAGCATGTCTCTGTATAGAAATACTCAAACTCTCTACATATGTGTCTGGGGCCTCGGACCAGCCTGTGTGTGCTTTTTGGTTGGTGGTCAGTCTCTAGGAGCTCCCAGAGGTCCAGGTTAGTTGACACTGTTGGTCTTCCTATGAGGTTGCCATAGCAACCCTTGCACTTCCTTCAATCCTTCCCCTAATCCTTCTGTAGGGTCCCCAACCTCAGTGCAATGGTTGGCTGTAAGTATCTGCATCTCTCTCAGTCAGCTGCTGGTAAGGCCTCTCAGAGGACAGCCATGCCAGGCTCCTGTCTGCAAGCACAACAGAGCATCAGTAATAGTGTCAGGGACTGATGCCCGCTCATAGGATGAATCCCAAGTTGGGCTAGTCACTGGTCGGCCATTCCTTCAGTCCCTGCTCCATTTTTGTTGCTCCATTTCTTTTAGACAGGAGCAAAATTTTGGGTCAAAAGTTTTGTAGGTGAGTTGATATCCCCATCCTTCCACTGGGCGTCCTGCCTGGCCACTGGAGGTGGTCTCTTCAGGTTCCATATCCCCATTGTTGGTCATTTCTGTTAAGATCACTCACATTGATTCCTGGGTGTGTCCCCCATTCTAGGTCTCCTGAACTTCCTAGAGATTCCCTCCACACCCCAACCATTCCGGCTATATATTTCCATTCATGCTCTTGTCCCCTGGGCCTCTCTTCTGTTCTCCCATAGTGTTTCCCTCCCCTCTCCCACCCAGGTCCCTCCCTCCCTCTGCCTCCCATGATTAAAATGAACTGATTTTTAGGCGTATTTCATATACTTTGCAAGATCATTACTGTATCTAATATTTTCCAGCTAGATGTTTCTGTACTGATACCAATGCCATATGTGTGGTATATGTGGTCCATGTCACATATCTTGAGCATAGAAACAGTTGACACTGTTCTAAGCTACCCTTACTAGATCAGTCTGACTCTAACAGTGTAGACATGGAGCTGGCACAGGAGTCTTTCACAGTTGTCCATCTATGATGCTCTTCAAAATACTTTTCTGTATACAGCATAAGAATTTATAGATATATATCATTTTTGTACATTTATCTCAATGTGGCCTAGGTAGTAAAAATTATCTGATACCCATGAAGGTCAAGGATCAAGTGAAAATTTTGATTTTCATGGATTTAAGGAATGCCATACTTAGTTTTTACCTTCAAAGTGAAATCTTTAACTAAGGCAAGCATGCATTCTTATGTGTCTCAACATATTCAGCAAATTTTAAGAGCACTGACTGAAGGGGCAGAGTCATAAACCAGAAATAGCTTCTAATCTGAGGTGAAGAGTGAGATTTACTTGTGTTCAAAGGAAAACGTAAAATGGCTGGAGACTGATATCTTACAAGGAAAAGAGACAGGCCCAGGAATGGTACAAGAGACATGAAAGTGCATCTGGATATAGGCACAAGGCAGCTTGGCTAGTAGAGAAGGCATTTGTCCCTACCACAGCTGTTGGAATGCTCCTAACCTGGAGACCACCACAGGAATTGGTGAACTCAATTGCAAGCTCCAATGTGATGAGAGGAAACACCATCTTGTCATTAAATAAGAAGAATGTTCTTCCTATTAATTGTCTAAGAGAAATTTGGGCCATCTTGGTGTTCAGACATGGTCATTGCAGATTCAGAGCTTCAAAGAGTTAAGTTTGATGTTTCCATTTTGGAATCATTCTTCATTGCTAATCTCCATCAACATATAAATCAGAACAAGAAAGAAGCTAACTGAGGGACAAACCTTGAGGCACAGCAATCTTAGTGAGACTTCAACTAACAAGGGTATAACAATTAAGTGGCACCATGGAAAGTATTATGAGAGATATAAAAGTCGCAGAGTTGCCAGATAGAGAAAAGCAGTCTGCTACGTGAACATGGCAGTAGTCTTGTGACATTGTTTGAATACATAGTTACAATTCTCAACACATACTTTCTTCTGGATTCCATCCTTTTCTATGGCAATGCCTGTTCAAAGCAAAGCCCTTGCAAGTTTCTTATTCACTTGGAATGTGACCTGGTGCAAATGAGGTTTTACCCTCTGAAAATTTCAAAATATAATGCCATTCACATTTGAGAGCAGTCAAGGGTCTCATAAAGAAAAAAGCCTATGTCAGCCTCCTGTCAGCCAGGACAGTGACTACTGAAGAACAGTACCAGATCTTTTGATATTCCAATCCTCCATTCACTTCTCTCTCTTTCTCCATCTTCTTCTTTCTTTCCCTGTTTATTATTCCTTCCCCTCCCCTTTCATATTTTCTTCTAGATTTAAACCCTTGCCATGGCAGTCTAACTATGATCATGGGCTATATAATCACAAAACCTTACTGTTTAGTGTCATCAGGGAACAAAAGTTGATGATCCACAAAATTCATAAAATATACTAGGATCACCTATTAGACATCCGCAAATTGTGTGTATCGTTTCTTTTTTTCATGCTGTTTCCTACTGTGCTTGACATTCAAAGCATTTGTGAAGAAATGGTTTTAAAAAGACAGAACTAATGGAAGCTATTTGTATTCCTTTTTTTCTAGGAGGGAGATGCTCCAAAAAAGGCTGCCTCTGCCACCGTTACTGTCCCCAATATGGCTATTGCCACTGCTACTGCCACTGCCACTGCTCCTGCCATTGTCACTGCCACTGTCACAGCTACTGCCACCACCACTGCCACAGCTACCACCACAACCACCACCACTACTATTTCTAGCATCACCCCTACAATCACTTCTGGCCTTATGGATAGCAGTCACCTGGAGATGACATCCTGGGCAGCACTGCCCCTCCTGTCCAGCAGTAGCACCAATGTCCGGAGACCAAAGCTCACTTTTGATGACTCGTATGTTGTCCCCAGATTATTGTAGAACCGTTTTGGGAGTGGTGGTTGGGGGTGAGGGTAGGATGGATTTTCTAGAGTCTTGTATGTGTCATGCCATATAAAACATTCACATCATCCCCTATAATGTTAAAGGAAAACCCATTCTACACACATACCATCATCAACAGTAATAAATTTCCTTAGCCCACTTTAACCATGGATCTTTTTACTGTTTTCTAAGGTAGATTCTCTCCTCTAGACTGTTTTCTTATTTATGACTTCAGTTATATAGAATGGTATATAGCTACGTTTTATATAATATCTTGGGCCATTGTAATGTCTGGGGTTAGAGAATATAAGTTTCTGTCCTAATAGTCTATTCTATACTTTAAAGTTCAGTTACAGTATCATTTCAAGGTTGGTATCAAATATAATGTATATATATATATATATATATATATATATATATATATATAATGTAAATCTGCCTTGTTCAAATCACCATGTAGAAATGAATGAATAGTCAAAAATATTTGTACTGTACATTTTATAAATGAGAAAGATGAACTGCTGGTTTGTAAAAGAGCTTATTTTGTTCTTTAGTGTTCACAATGCTGATTTTTACATGCAAGAGGCTAAGAAGCTGAAACACAAAGCTGATGCACTGGTAGGTTCCTTCTTCTCATTGTCTGACTCTCTGAAGTACAATGTTTTAAACCAAAACAAGGAACATATTTCACAATTAGGGCAAAAAAACAAAAAGGTAGCACCACCCAGAGTTTTTTAAAGCATCTCTGCTGTTACATAGAGACATGAGGGCTTGGGAATTCTGTAGCATTATGACTCCCAAAGGTCTTGGTTCTAGTGTTATTGTATCTTTGTCACCTTTTTCCTTCTAGTGCAAGTTCAGAAGCTTACTCACATGTGCCCTTGTCATAGACTTTTATATAAATTGAAATGATTTTGAAAATACTCTGAATATGATAGAAGCTTCTTTTGGGTCACGTAACCGAAATCTGGGATGTGAAGGTGGAAGGTGACACGGAATGGGTTTCAAACATTGATTTAGAAAAACCTAAGTCTCCTTAGAAAGCTCAGATTCTTGTTGCATTTGGTTCCATGCTCCTAGAGCAGGGCCAATAGCCAAGCTTTCTTCTACTGATCATAGGAAGACAATGCTATCATCTTGATTTCTAGTGAAATAATTCCCATCTTTCTTTCAGGATCTTGGTTGACTTAAACCAGTGATGAGCTGATTATGTTGATATTTTTATCCTAATTGATCCTCTTAACAACAAGTCTTAACCACTTGTTCCTCAGGCTACATCCAAAACCAATGAAATAAGAATTTACAGGAATGAGACCCAGTCATAATAACTAAAGATCCCCAACTGACTTCCAAATGCAACAATTTGAGAGCCATGATCCTAGAGGCAGTCTTAGAGTTATGCTCCTCATCACTTTCTATATCTCAGAACAACTGAAAGTATCAGTTCAGTGTCATTACAAGGAGCAAAAATATCATGCTCAAGCTGTACATTATGTATCCTATCAGGCTCTGCACTGTAGCTAGTATATACCCAATATCAACTCCCTCTGTTCATTGCTTCTGTGTTATTTCTCTCTGCTGTTCAAGTTGTCTACCAATTTTTCTGAACATTTGTGTAGTATGAATTTTCCCCTGGAAATAATTTTCCCACACCATTACAGACGAAATTAACAAGGTAAACTAGAGGACGCCTCTGAAGGCACTCAAGTGGATTTTGCTTCTGATCAGTGATTTTGCATCACTGGATGATGGCCAGCAATTTAAAAGCTACTGGGTGACAGTATTGCTGACTGGAAGGCCAAAGGTTTTCTTCAAATGTTGTCAACTCTGTGATACTTAAGAAGTACGCTGGAGCTTTTCTTCTTTAAAAGTCAAAGTGAAGAAATATATGAATGTCCCTTTGACAAGGTGGTACACAGGATGATAAAGAGACTGATCCCAGTAAGACCATGAAGGTGAAAATTTGAAAGACTTGGAAAAAGTCAAATGTACAGAGATCCCCCAAAATATGGTTGAGAAATAACATCACTGGCAACTGCTTCCTTGGGGGCAAAAACTGATCCTTAGGGTAAAGTAGAAAATTCCAGCTATTGCATAGAGCTGTGGTCCTTCAAAGGAATCACATAAGAAATACTCAATGTTTTGTGCTATTGAAACTTCGTTGTTAGTATATAAAAATGTCTTTAGAATTTTTTGGAGGCATGTGATCATGGGGAAAAAGGTTGAGACATATTCGGAAGGATAATATTTTCCTTGAGCTTTTATCTATTCTCCTGTTAGAAACATGTTTTTAAACCTCTCAATTTGTGAATGGAAATTAACTGGCATCGTGGCTATGTAACTGTCTTTCTAGATTTCAATATCTTTTCCTTTTGAAAAAAGATAGGTTACACCTTAATAATGTTTAATGATAACTCACCTTTAAAACCCAAGGTGTATAAATTAATTCCCAAAAGGGAAAGCTACTTGAAGTCTGAAGACATAAGGAAATTATCTAATAATACAAAATAGAAAGAAAGTAGTTTATACATAAGAGAATGTTGAATAAATGGAAAATAGAATATGGTACTTCTGTACAACAGCTTACAGAAATCACAGAATTTCCTCAGTACATAAAAGCTTAAGAACATTATTGTAAAGTCACTTACAATAAGAGATTCTTCATGACTTGCAACTAATCACTGTATAGTTGTATCTATTTCTTTTCCAGAGATAGCTACTCTGCCATCTTGAAAGTTGAAATTTTCACAGTTGTATGCACAATATTTTGATAAAAGGTATACAAAATTTAATATCATTAAATATGTATTATACTTGTTCTTTTACATAAAGTTCTGTATTGATGTAAATTTTTACATCCAACTGTCAAAAATTGAAAATGTAAAATCCTGTTATAAAATCCTCACTCTGAAAGTGTCATATATAATATTCATTACACATGAAAAGGAAATCAGTATGACTAAGCCAGTTTAATCATTATCAGGGCTAAAACCTTTTGCAATAAAATCTGACTAAAGTAAAATATTTAACAGTGCTATATTTTTGACACCATCTCAACCCATCATTTCCAATGAAAATGATGTGACTATAGCCGACTGTCATACTAGAACTTCTCCCTTTCAATCTACTACTCTTTACCTTAAAATGGGATTGATATCCTCATGACATTCTAAAGAAAGAAACAGACTATGAAGATAACAAAAGCAGAGCTTAGTTGCAAGAACTGACTAAATGACACTTCAATACCTGGCCAGTTCAGTATATTTACTGACTAGAAACTAGTCAAGACATTCATTTAGACTGTAGTTGTCCAAAAAGCGATGGGAACATCAACAATGGTGCCATAATCAGTTTTGATGCCTTGGCTGCATTTTCCTTTTCTTAGCCAGCCATAGTGTCAGGGCAAGAGAACCTGAAATCAGTTCCTTTATCACCAGTACCAATTTGTATGCTGTCATCTCTCTGTAACAGGGTTGATGTATCTCCATATCTCAGCTTGGACATCTGGAAAATCTAGTTCTGCATTGCAGAGACGGTCTCTTGCATTTTGTCATGCTTAGCAGCACTTCTGGTCCCTGTCTTCTAGGTGTTTCCTATCCCCTAGTGGTAACTACCCAAAGTGTTTCTATGAAATAATAAGTGTTCCCTGAAACATGGGGACAAAAATGACACACAGTTGTGAATTGCTCCTTTATATGAAGGAGAAAAAAAAGAGTATCAAGTTGACAGTCATTTTCCTATTTCAGTTTGAGAAATTTGGCAAAGCTGTGAATTATGCAGACGCAGCCTTGTCCTTCACTGAATGTGGCAATGCTATGGAACGTGATCCACTGGAAGCAAAGTCTCCATATACCATGTATTCTGAGACTGTGGAGCTCCTCAGGTAAATGGCTTTCCTAGAGTCATATTTCTAAATTAATCTTAAACAGTTAGAAGCTGTTAATATTTTTTGCTTAACTATCATTTCCACAATTAATGTGTCCAAAAGTCACTGTAATTAGTTCCTGCCATTTTATTAAGGCCATAGACTATTTATAATTGATGGACACTGTTTTATAAATTTTCCCCTTCAGAGGTTATAATGTGAGTCTCATAATTTATAATATTCATAAAATTAAAATGAAGATGTCACAGGTGAATGTAAAGTATAATCATTTTATCATTTCCCATTGACTTTCCTTTTCAAAACAAACTCATGCTCTCCAGATTTCTATTAAGAGCCATATTTTCTCTTTATAACTTTACATAATTCATATTATACTTTACATCCCAATCACAGCCTTCCTCCTGCCTCTCTTCCCAGTCCCACCCGTACAAATCCCCCCACCCCATTGCAGGAGGAGAAGGAGAGTCCCATTGGGTATCACTCCACCCTGGGGGATCTAGTCCCAGCAGGCCTAGGCACATCCTTTCCCATGGAGGCCCAACCAGACAATCCAAGTAGGGGAACAGTATCCATAGGCAGGCAATCGAGTTGGATGCAGCCCCCAAAAGCAAAGTTTTCTAAGGCATTTCCTTTGGGTAATTATACAAGGAAGGAGGCACTGGTAAGTTGGCTCTGTTGGGTAAAAGTTATGGTCAATAAGACAGACAACTTTGATCCTAAGGGCTCACATCCAGAAAGGAAAGAATTGACTTGTGCAAGTTCTTTATAACCTACAAACATGGACTGTTGTATACATACAATATTAAATAATTAAGTAAAGAAAGGAAGTTTTATAATTGGAAGGGGGCATTGTTCTATCCCAAAGTCAATATTTAAGATCACAGTTGTATAGCAAATATTAAAAGAGTAATTTATTATATCATTGAATATTCAAAAATACTTTGCAGCCATTGACACATAATAACGATGAGCCTAACAGTAACATGAAAATGTGGAATTATACTAATGTAAAATCAAGACCTGAGGCATAGCTCATTGGTAGATATTTGTCTATCATGTGGGAGGCCATGGTTTTGATCTCTAGTATTTCAAACAAACTTAAATCATGCTGCAGAATTATATATAAATTATAAAATGAAAAATGTATGTATGTATCTAAATTAAAGCAGAAGGAATTAAGATTGAAGTTGTGATTGTGAAGCTATAACATTATGGATGTTTTCCTTCTCCACAAATTTTGTCCGTAAGCAGGGGCTATAGAGATGGTTTAACAGTTAAGGGTGGTTGCTGCTCTTGCAAAAGACCCAGATTCTATTCCTAGCACACACACACACACACACACACACACACACACACACACACACATTCTACAGGCTCACAGTTGCCTACGGCTCCAGTTTTAGGGGCTTTAACACCCTCTTCTGGCCTCTGTATGCTTCATGAATGAAGCACATGGTGCACATAAACTTGTACAGACACATACATAAGAATAACAGTTCTTAAAATTCATAAGGTAAAAACTAAATTTTCCTCTGTGGTAAAAGCATGAAGTGAATCATTAAATAGTATTTATTTCTTCCTTAATTGTGTATAAAATAATTCTTCACAACTTAAAATTTTCATTACATGAGACTGGTGCTTTGACCCAGTACTCAAAGAAATATATTTTAGTGGAACCTTGGTAAAAAGCAAGGGAGAATTTTTTTAAAATTCTCTCCAAAGTCAATATTCTAACCTTGATTTTGAGTCAATTATAGATCCAGGTACAATAGTAGGAATAAATAAAAGAGCTACTGTGTACCTTCACCAAATTTTCTGCCAATGGTAATATCCTCCATAGCTGAAGTTCAATATCACAGCCAGGGCACTGGTGTTGGCATGACCACCAAGGACATTCTTTTTTTTTTTTTATTTCAGATTTTCCTCAATTTTGCAAGAACTCATTGCAGTATTCTTTATATTTTTTAATGAGAAGAATTTCTTTTGGGAATAAAATGAGTTGAAACAAACTAGATCTTGAGGCCCATTTCAGCAATTGAAATTACACTATCTAGAAACTTTCAAATTAGGCGATGACTGTAATATGAATATAGTTTTTAGTAGTACAATATTATGTAGAAGAGATATTTATTGCTCTCTTCCCAAAGACATGCTAGCTATAGAGAAAGAGTCCTATTTTTTCCTTCAAATAATTTTAGTTGTTCTGAGCCCTGGGAATCTGCAGTGGAAATGTATTTGTGAAACAAGAATACACCACAATGACTTGACACTAGTAATCCAGCTGTTAAAGAAAGTTAGACATATTACATTATAAAAACCCCACTTCTCACCATTGTAACAACAGAAAGCACCTGCATCAAGTATGTAAATCCTATTGCTAAATACATTCACTCAACAGATTCTGAGAAGTTATCATGAAAGCAGGGCAGATGACATGCTGAGGAGTACAAACTCTTGAGTGGGATGAGCCAGGCTCTGGTGCTTTGGAGAGGCAGATGTAAGTAGCAAGTAAGAGGACACTCCAGGCTCTGAATCACCTTCCATAAATGAGGGATAACCCAGGCAGCCTGCACATGCTCTTCACATTTTTTTCTGCCACAGTGAACTCGATTACTTATTCTCCTATAAGTGCCTGTGAAATTGCATTAAATCTCAGACAATGATTTTATGCAATGAATTGATTTCTCAAGACTCTGAATGCTCAGAATGAGATGTGCTCAAATAGAAGGAAAAAAAGAAGAGAAGAAAAGAAAAGAGGACCACTTGATCTTTTATCACTGCAGCATGAAACAGTAACAATTAAAGAGAAGGCAAATTATACAAGTCCCATAAAGCAAAGTGGCTTAGACCTTAAAACGCTGTGAAATCAGCCCTCCTTTAACACACACATGTGCACACCCACACACCCATGTGAAGCATGTACACATGCATGAATGCATGAATGCACACTTCCTATAAGAACACATTCAAAACTTGAGCCATTATAAAAGAGTTTTTACTTGATTGAGGTCTCTCTAGCCAACATCACACATACTTCTTTATTATTGTTTCATCTGTCATAAAGTTAAATGAGACTGACATATTTTGCCCATCATGCATATAAAACCAATAATGTTGTTTACTTAGCAAGCTCATAGAAACAATATTTTGCCAGCCAGCATTTATATATAGCCAGAAACTCGTGGAAATTTCACATTATTCTAAAACATGAGTCTACAATTAAATTGGCTTTTGTAGAGCTCAGTTCTTGATGTCACATCAGGTTCCATTGTGCTGTATGGGTAATCCTTTTGTATATGATTTAAGGAAAGGACCATTCTGCCCTCTGCCTTTAATGGAAAGGAGGGGAGCCTAAGTCATTTTTGGCAATCAGAATTTTGAAAGGTAATCCAAATTCCACTAAAGTATTTCTTTATGATTTTCAAAGGTATGCAATGAGACTGAAGAACTTTGCGAGCCCCTTGGCATCTGATGGGGACAAAAAGCTAGCAGTATTATGGTGAGTTGAATAGAGGTCACAAGGAAACTTCTGAAATGTTGCAGATGGATATGAACACTCCACATCAACTTAAGCAGCTTACCTCAGCTCATTATTCTGCCTTTCTGGTGAACTGCTAAAGGATAGCTAATGGATTTCTTCAGTTGCTGACTAAACATCTACTCCCTACACTGAAATTTATACCCTTATCAAAATGGGATATTAATAATTCCACCTTCATTTGTTAAGTGTTTTTATTTACACATGTTCCTCAATCTGAGATTAAACAAGTAACTACAAAATATGACTTTTTGTATTTTACAGTATATGGTCTTCATGAGGCACTGTCATTAATTTAATCCTTTTATTCTCATCCAGCTACCGATGCTTGTCACTTCTATATTTGAGGATGTTTAAACTGAAGAAGGACCATGCTATGAAGTACTCCAGATCACTGATGGAATATTTTAAGGTAATCCTTTTTTTGTATGATTCATAGGTAAATGGTGACCAAAACCCTAATGAAAAATGCTAGGCATGTAAACCAGATGTCAGACAACTATGAGAAGAAAGATACTGCCATAAGCCTAATCTTATTTCCTTCTGCTGGCCACACAGCCTTCTGATTCCTAAGAAAGAAGGTACACAGTAGTACAAATGGCCTATGGTAACCTTTTGATTGCAATTAGAGGAGATGGAGGTGATCATAACTTGTATCCACAGTCTCATTTATATATCAACCCTAGAAGTACTTTAGCTGTGACAGACGTCACCATGGCCATATTGGACGTCTGTTCATGTCCCTCCTTGATGTACCATTGGTTCAGTTTAAGGAATTTGATTGCATTAATTACCAAAGAAAATAAATGGATAAAGTCATCCTCTAGAGAGTTGAGGTTTAGGGTTTTGTTTGTTTTGTTCTGTTTTAGTTTACAAATTAACAAGGAGGGTAACTACAAAATACAATACTAATATTTGAAAATGAACCAACATAAAATCTAAGCAGTAGTCTGGTACTAGGCTTAGCTACTCTATATTTTAATATAACTTCAGTCTACTAACACTGGTTATAAGTTAAAATTGAGATAGTTCACTGCTCCTTTCTTTAGGCTTGATCTTAGAGAAAAATGACTTTTTGCAAGTATGTAAGACCACTTAGCCACATTGCACCTAGCATTGCCTGAGGTGAATCACATCATGACCTTGTAGCCATGAGTACCTTGTAGCCATGATGACACTGTGATTCATCTGGAATTATGAACCAGAGTCCCAGTTACTACATGGTGTGGATGTAATGCCATAAAGCTAGTACTCATGTGGGTGAAAAGGGATCATATCCAACAGTTCCTCAGTTCTTTCTTATAGTATATTATAGAAAGGTGGAATTTGAATTTCACTGAACTTCTAAAACCCCTAGAGAGCCCCCAAAAAGAAACAAACAAGCAAGCAAGCAACAAAAACTAAAGTGTCAAGTCTTATTTTCCCCAAACAAGTGTCCTTGGCTAAGGTCTGAGAATGCACATTTCCAAGAACTTTCCAAGTAATTCTCTTGCTGCTGGCCTTGTCATTTCACTGATAGCCACTGTTCTAATAGCTGTCCTCTGTGCCTTGTGAAGGAATTGCAAAACATCAAACAAATGCTAAGTAGCCTGTGAATGTGTTGCACTCATTTAGGTTTAAAACTGAATCAAGTCTACAGAATACACACTGTCTGTGACACCAGGGCAGCATTGAATTCTTACTAACTCTAGCAAATGCTGACTCTCTTTTCAAATGTCCCTCTTGCAAGGGGGGCTGGATTGGAGACCAGAGGGTAGTAGAAGACCACCAGCTTGACTACAATTGCCAAGAGAAGACCTGACTCATACTGGGGTTACAATCAGCTGGATCCCTGTCCTGTCATGGTATATGCTGAATATCAGATGTTTCCTTCCTCCAAAAGGGTGTGGCCAGAAAACAAAACAAAATAAAAAACCCAAAACTTAACCAAAACAGAAAAAAAAAAACCAAAACCAACAAACCAACCAACCAAATAACCAATCAACAAAACAAGCAAACAAAAGAAGCTATAAATCAGTCAGATTCTGTCAGAGAAACAAAAAAAGGTTTTGAATTCCAACTTCTTTTGCAATGCAGCCCCAGACTAGTAGCACTGCTAAACAGAGAAAACAGCCAGCCATGAGAATTTGCATGTAATGACCGAAAATCACAATGAGTCCTGAAAACAAACAAGCAAACAAAATGTATTGTTTGATTCTGACATCTTCCTTAGATATCAGACATAAACAGTCAAACCTGTATCCCATGGAAAAAGTTTGCAACTAATGCTAAAGGTGAAAGAAAAACTTACTTGTTCTCTGAAGGGCTTGTTTTGCAGAATAAATTTCAGATGAGGATAATTAAACCACTTCTTGGAGAACTGAGTCTGATTTCACTGGGCCTTTTAGTATATAAGATCTTTCATCAAGTGACTTTCATGGTCCTGATTGGAGCCCACTAATTATCCTAACCAGCTATTTTCATCGAGTGTGCGTCGTGGTGTGCTGATGTGCACATACATCCTAGCTCTGCATCCCGAAATGCTGCAATCAATATTAATGTACTCTAAATCACACTTACATCTGGTTCTGAATTAATAAACACAAAATAGATGTCCTTATTTCCCTCTCTCTCTCTTTCAGCAAAATGCTTCAAAAGTTGCTCAGATACCATCTCCTTGGATAGGCAATGGAAAGTAAGTATGCTATCAAAAATTGCTTTTTCATGAAAATGAGTGATTGGATAGACCCCACATATTTTGCATTGATTGCTCAAGAGTGAAGGACAATTTCAAGACTCCAGTCATTTTTCTGCACACAGAATTCTAGCCATTTTTCAGCTGATGGAAAACCAGAAAAGTTTTAAATGATGTGGTTCCTTAAAGATCTATAAGCTAAATTATGGCCATAAAATATTTGCTAATGAGATGGCAAGCAACATACCATTTCTGGAAGGTGGGATAAAGTTAAATCCACTGCAATGATTTGTAAGTGATTCACTTGGTAATGAAAAGTCAATGAAATATTCATTGATATATCGTAAGTGATGTTTAATAAAACCAAACGCATAATAGAGCTAAAAATATGAAGGTACTTAGTCAGCCAATTATCTGGGCATTCATGGAGATTTTTATACCAGTACTTAAAACACCTTGACCTAAAAAAAAAAAAGGATGTGCTCTGATGCTGATGTAAGACCTCATGGATGGACCCAGACTGACATCCTTATTTAGAGCCCTATTGGCTTAGGGTCCCCCATAGACTTCATAACACTACAGAGAGTCTGCTGGAGACTCTTGGTATAGAACTGAGGCCACTCTCCTTCTAGATTTGCCCTTCTCCCTTTGAAATGAAAGGGGCCAAGTTTTATGGTAACTGGGGGCCATGGAGGAGATGATCCTTACAGAGAGCAATTATGAACCTCACTCTCTCCATAATGTGCTTTTGCTAGCTTTCCTGACTAGACATGTCACCTCTGGTTTCAAAAGTATCCCATCTCTCATTTCCTGTCTGTATAGGAGGAAAAAGGAGATGCCAGTAGACACGTTCCCAATAAACCTGTTATACCTGCTTTTTTCCAATTTTTATCATCTCTGATCAAAATACCTTCCTCATGAGTAGAATAGCGTGACTGTCACTCTATAAATATCTACAAAGTGTACTCCAAAAGCATGAACTCTACTCTGAGATCATAAAACCATTCAGAGCGAGGGAACAAATCCATTGAGAACTACACATTAGCTCAATTACTGTGCTGAAAGAAAGCACCACTTTGATGGTTGAATTAGATCTTACTCTTATACTGATGAACAAAAGGAAAGACGGTTTCTCTCTATGGAAGTTTAAAAAATAAAAATAACTATTGAAATGCCCAGAGAAAGCTATTTTCTCTGAGCACAGAATAAAGAAAGAACAAGGTCAGGTAAGCAGCTAGTAAAAAATCATTGGGAATAGTATATATGTGTATATACATATATATGTATATGTGTGTGTGGTTGTGTGTGTATGTGTATATGTATGTATTAAATTCAGAAATGGAAGAAATTGAAGAGCTCAAACCCACTTGAAGCTTGGTGAGGTCACACTAAAATCCTCATGTCATGCTTCACAAGCAGCTTCAGTCTAAAGAAAGTGCCCTTCCTTAGGCTCATAGTCATGCTGTGCTGTGCTATGGTATGGTTTGGGGTGGAGTGGGGTGGCCAATGTATGCGTGTGTGTGTGTGTGTGTGTGTGTGTGTGTGTGTGTACTTCTAAATGAAATTTCAGATTGTTTTTCAATTTCTATGAGAAATTAAGTTGGAATCTTAGTGCAAATTACATTGTTCTGTAAATTACTTCTGGGAGGATGGCCATTTTCACAATATTAATCCTACCAATCCATAAATATAGGAGGTCATTCTATCTTCTTGTTTCTTCTTAAATTTCTTTGTTCAATGTCTTAATAGTTGTATTATATTATATTATGATTAATCTCACGGAAGAAGCTAAAAGGAGAAAAATGTCAAAAATTGACTGGGACAAGACAGGAAGCAGTGGTACAGTGGTACAATTGTGAGTAAGCCATGGAATATCTGTAATGAGGTTTTAGAGCAAAGAGAAATGGGAAGAAGTGTGTTCCCCATGAAGTCAAGGGAGCAATGTGATGATCTTATATATATATACATATATTATATAATGATTAAATCTGGATAATCAGAATGCCATGTTCCTAAATATATACTTCCTATATTTGCTGGTAATCTTATGATTCCTCTCTTTATAAAACATACAGTAAGTTCATAAAGATTGTACTTTCCCCACTGTGTGTAGAACACTCCAACTTATTCCTCCTATGTAAATAACAGGATTTTGGACTAGTTTTCAAATTATCCCATCTTCTCCTTCTTAGACTGTACTAACCATGATTCTCCTCACTGTGTCTATAAATTTTCTCTTTTTAAGCTTCCTTATTTTTAAAAAAACACATGAAGCAAAGCAACATGTGTTCTTTGTTTCTCCTTGTGATTTACAGACAGGATAGAAAACATTGTAGGAAAATAAGGCCTATAAAGTAGAAAGGCCGTGCTTGGTAGTATATGGCAATTTTGTGCTAAGATGAGTTTAGAACTCTGGCATCTTAGGATTCTAGCACCCACAGTTCCTTTTTCAATATGTATCTCCTGGCATGTTGTAATCTCCAGAGATTACAAATGAGAATGTATGAATTTCTAGCTATAAACTAACATTTAGGAGTTAATTACAATTACCAAACAGAAAGATTATAAAATAGCACATGTGACCTATGAAGATAAAATACTAATTCTTGTATCACTAACTTGCCCTGTTTGCTATTTGTTCCTTGTCTTGGAAATCCCCATATCCCATCCCTGCCTTGAGAATAAACCATGCTTTAGTGAAGCAGGAAAATATCTCAGAAATCATAAACATAGTTGGGAAACCCTCACATGTTGTACACCACACAGATACATAGAAGATTTGAAGATCTGCCTTTCTACCAAGGCCAGAACACTCTGTAAGATAGACTCCATTGACATAAATGCCTTGAACTTTCTCTCATGATGGTAGGCACAATTTATATGTGCCTGAAAAAGAGGATTTCAGCTTCAATTATTCACAGAGATTATTAATAGCACTTCAGCACTTGATATATGCGACCTATTTCCCAAATCAAATGTATGTGCCTCTCTGCTGTGAGCAGGTATAGACTGAGAAACACAGCCACCGTGGAGATGCCAAGTTGCCAATAATAAAATACTGGAGATTGGAGCATAATATAGGGCCCTTTGATGATGATCTGGGGTGGAAACAAAGTTCTTTCAAAGCAGGCAGACTCTTAAATATAGTTCTGACTCATTTCTGCTATTTATGTGTTTGTTTTGTTGCTTAGGCTAGTCTCAAATCTCTATCCTCAACAAACTTCATTTCTGAGCCTCTCAAGTATCTGAAACTATAGGAATGTATTGCCACATAGGGATGCCTATTTGTTTTACTCCCTCAAAATGTCCTGCCCACAGTGGATACAATTGTGACTGCTCATGCAGTCTCTAGGCAAGTCTGTATCAGGATATCTTAAGCTCAGGCCCTGAAAAATATTACATCCCTGCTATGTGACCCAACAGGTAACTCATTGTTACTGATGTTGAAAAACTCAATGAAAATGTGTCCCTACACTGGAACTGTCAAAATTAAGAACTTTGAAGCCTCCTCCTTATTTACTAGCATGATGATAAAGTCATCAATTAATAATCCATCTATGTTACACATCTTAAAAAATCCTGAAGTCTTACTTTTCTTTCTAGCTTCTCCAATGCTGTACCTTAAGGGGCTTTGACAAACTGCACTTGGCTTATTGTGGCAACTGTATTTGTAATGACCTGTCACTGTAGTTTCCACTAAACACTTTGAAGATAGACCAATATTGTACACCATGTCTTCTGTCAGATACCATTCTGAAACAGGTAGAGAAAGCATCAAAGCTCTGAGTGGTTTCTTTTTCTTAAACATTGTTATATGTCTTGTATAGTCAAAGCAAGAGCCACATTTATACGTAGTATTAATGCCAATATTTATCCAACTCTCTCTCCCTCCCTCCTTCCCTCTTCCTCTCCCTCCCTTCCTCTCTTCCCTATTTTAAAACAAAACCAGCAGTGTACACAAGGGCTCTCCAATTTTAGAGGCAGTGAGGACCTCAGTGTTTCTAGTTAGAAAAATGAATAAAGTTGAGTTTTTCTAGGACCAACACTGTAGACTGGGGTGGGTTAGTCAGATGATATAAAATTGCAGTGCTGGTATGTTTCTCATACACTTGATCCTCTGAATAAATATATGATGATGACCAAAACTGTAGGATCTTGTCTGAAGGAGGCCAAAGAGATGTGAGCACTCATATGAAGGTTCATGCATCTTTATTGCACTAAATTTTTCTCTGGCTAGTGGTATTCTGAAGAGATCCCAGTGTGACAGGGGATCCTCCATGCTGTATTCATCCAATACACTGCTGTCACTCTTCCCTACCAACTTAACATGGCCTGTCTCTTTCCATTCTCCAGGAATACTCCATCTCCAGTATCTCTCAACAATGTCTCTCCCATCAACTCAATGGGGAATTGTAACAATGGCCCTGTCACCATTCCCCAGCGCATCCACCACATGGCTGCTAGCCATGTGAATATTACCAGTAATGTGCTTCGGGGCTATGAACACTGGGATATGGCTGACAAACTGACAAGAGACAATAAAGGTATGATTATCTGGTCTACTCTGCCTAACCTTGAGGATGCAGTTGGTCATTTGTGCTTTGAAGGACTAGGTCCCTTTTACCTGTTGGCCTTTTATTATTTACTTCTGATTTCTGTGTTGGCCTTATATTATTCAGTTCTGATTTCTGTGTCTTAGGTGAGAGGAAGTTAGCTTAGGGATGACACTGTAAGTTATTTTTACATTTGGATTGATTCAAAGCCTAAATAGTTATTCTCATTAAAGCTTAAACTAATCTAATCTGTAATATATTTGCAAATGACAGTTTCTGAATTTCACTCAGCAACAAGGATCATAGAGAAATAATTCCTAAGGCAAAATGAGTGAGTGATTCAAAAATTAATTAAGGTCCCCTTGGCTACTGTTTGTTGAAAGGTGAGGTGGAACTAAGGTCAGGTACCTTCATTATACTCGTCAGCTACAGATGAATACATGACAACAGAGTTTGCATTTGTAAGTAAGGACTAAAGTTCATCTGGAATTTCTTCACACCCTGACAGGAAGATCAAGGTTCTATTTATGGGAAGACATGAGATGTGCTACAGAACAAATGGAAAGAAGATCCTGTTTTATCAGAGTCAATAGTCATTGATGACTTGTGCTACTATCTGTGATCTCAACCATCATTTAGACTCAAAATAAAGCCTCACCAACCTAATGTCATTGGAAAGTAAAACCAAAACCAAACTTTCACTCTGTCCATTCACTTGCTGGGGCTCTTTTGGCCCACTAATTACAGAATGTCCAATTGAAAACAAAATGGAGACTTCTGGGGATCTATTAGAAGCAAACCTGAAAGAGGTTACAAGCAGGCTAGAATGATAGAAGTATTACCAGTAGTGGTAAACAGCTAGTCTCCTCCACAATCTAAGTTGCTTGGGGTGGACATAGGTTTTGCTAAGTCCTGAGCAGTATGAGTTTCAAAGATGCAGGACACACACACACACACACACACACATGGGTTGGGGGAGACTCACACACATATATACACATGTACAGGCAGAGTAAAACAATTAAATTTAGGTGGAAAGTGATTTATAGCAGAAGACAACTCACACATCAAACTCTTCCACATATACATAAACACATGTACTCCCTAACAAACGTGCAAGCATAGGAATACATGCATGTATATATAAAACATACACATAATTCTATGGTTATCAAAGCTCATTTCATTATTTGAGACATAGACTTGACTCTAAAGCCAGCTCCCAACTTCTACTGACTTCTGAGAGTATATGCACATCCTTACATCTGTGTGTATACTGATTCCTATGTCCCTGGTCCTATGTTATTTGTTGTTTGTTGTCTCATTTGTCGTTAGTTTATAGATAAAGACACTGAGGATATTTGAAGCTAAACATTTTCTTATTGCATCAGAACTCTTTAAGTTTGCCAGAAGTAGGAGGAGAATGTCACAGTATCTGATTCCAGAAACTGAGTTGAAAACAATAGGCCACTCTGCCTATCTAGAAAACATATTTTGAGGCAAGTGTTTAGAGACCTTTGGTAAAACGCTTGAACTCAGTTATCTGAACAAAGGAAATTCTTATGTGGTCTGCTTTCCTAGACTTCTGGAAACCCAGATACAAGTTTCCTAGACAACTTTGCCCCCACAAAAGCTCTAGACCTGTGAACAAAACCTAGGCATATTGAGATATGTCTGGTTTATCTGGTTCTAATCTGTCTTGTTTTATATCAGTAACTGAGAGAAGTTTAATATTTATGGATTTCCTTTGTAATTGTGTTCACTTTCAAAATCTGATCAAGTAGTTTCTTCTAAATTAATGGCAGAACTTTTCAGGAGCAGCATGATGACTGTGCTGAATCTAGGATAAAATAGTACTAATCTCGTCATTAGCATAGTCTGCCAAGGAGCTGCTAAATTCTTTGCATAATATTGAATCCAAACAACACTGTCACTGTACCAACAGAGAGAATACATGCTGGTAATTGTGCCACTGGGCTCTTCAGTTCCTTAGGAAGATACTCTAATGTGGAATGCTGTGCTTACCACCTTTAATTCTGCAGACATGTCATTTATGACTTGCTTGAATGTGAGGAGTCTTCTAACATCTACTGTGTGTAGATAGAAGTGACATAACTTGGGAGCTCCTCTTTGGATAGAAACTTCACATCCTACTCATGGAAAGCTGTGACATCAAGATGGAGAGTGTTGGCTCTTTTGATAGAAACCCTCCATCCCTGCCAGTGCATGCTCACTCTTGCAGCTGCAGATATTTTATTACAGAAGATTCTGGTCCTGAAACAAGCCAATGGGCTAATCTACCTTCTGCCTTGTGATCAGAAAGTCCTCTTCCCTATATACCCCAGCTACATATTACCTTATTGAAGTAGTCATTAAAATGGTGACTTGGCAGTCTGATTTAAAATGCCAAAGACAGCTTTGCACAGAATCTTCTGGGAATGTCTTAGCTCACATAAAGCTCACATTCATTTAATGAAGACTAGTTGTTTAACATTTTACTTAGTATTATGTTACCAACGAAAAAAAAGTCAATGCCAGAAGTAATTTACTCTATTGTCAGCAGAAATTCCTTTTATTGCATTGCTCAGGTTAAAAAGTATCACATAATCAAATGAAGTTGATACCTGGAGAAGAAGCCCATATGTTCTATAAAACATAAAGAATAAACGCACTGTTCAGTGAAATACCATCTGCTGAGCAATCAAGTACATTTAATCTACGCATAGAAATTGTTTTCTAAGAAGGCAGAAGGGTGTCTCAACCACTTTAAAACAGTCTCCAGTTCTACCCTGGATCTGGATTTGGATTTCTCATCTTCATCCAGCACAGGCATGGTTTCTTATAGAAGGCTGAGGCTCCCTTTCCTGTGGGGAGCTAACAAGATAAAAATGTTAGTAAGACCTCTCGAGACAGTGTCAGACAAGTCAAGTGGGAAAAGGGGTGCCTAGGGAGTTTTTCAGACACCATATAGTCTTCTCCACATACATTCCCTCAAAGCAGGCATTTTAATACTCAAGTCACACAGGTGAGTAGTTAGTAATATAGCCTCAGGACTATCCCATTTCTCAAGTCAGCCAGGAGTAATCATGTCATGTGGTGGATACTTTCTGGTCATTTTCTGTCCTTACAAAATCAGTACCAAGACTTCCTACCTCAGACTCCTCCTGACATTCATTTAATGCTGGTTATATTGTCTGCTCAGCTTCACTGGACTGTCCTATACTTTACCAATAAAGGTCAGGAAAAAAGTTCATTTGGACCAAAGGAAAATATTTTCAACTTAATTTCTTATAAAATTAAAAACATCTTTACATCAGAGAAGTCATGATGCTTATTGGACCTTTCTGTTGTATAATGAAGCTTTCACAAAAAATAAAGTTATTATAGTAACATATTTGACTATTTATATATATGCATTTTAAAATACATAAATATTACAGTTTCCTAAGTTTACATAAATATGTAGCCAAAAATATGTGTGTATGTGTGTGTGTGATAATGTAACAAACTTCTAGAAGATGGTAATGCACTTTGAGAATACAATGTTTGAGAATAAATATAGTGATATAAAAAAGTACTTAACAGGAATTAACAGATGTTACTGAGCTTTGGTTCACTAATCACAGTAACACAAACATTGTGTTGTTAAAATTTTAATATTCAATATATTCAATAAACTAATTCATATATGTGATACATATATATGTGTGTATAACTGTCATAGATAGATGCATAAATAATTTTGATTCCCTAGTAAGTCATTTAAATTTTGCTTGATTGAAGGAGTAGACGGACAGATGGATGAACAAATGAGTCTTTTAATGTCCACATGACTGTAGTATTGACTAATACTACCCAGTGTATAGTTTTATGATGTTAAATGAAGCCTTGACCAAGTACTACTCTGATTTTCAGAATTCTTTGGTGATCTGGATACATTGATGGGGCCTCTGACCCAGCACAGCAGCATGACCAATCTTGTTCGCTACGTTCGCCAGGGACTGTGTTGGCTGCGCATCGATGCTCATTTGTTGTAGTGGGCACTCTGCCATCTCTCGAATCAGCACTCATCCCTCTACCTTTACCAGTGCCTTGAGGGTCACTGGTGGAACTCCACTCATTTGGGAAAGTTCTCTTTCATTATGTTTGTTTTTATGCATTTTTGATATCTGTGAAAAACTGAACTCATTGTAAGTGGACACTACAACTTGAGAGAAGTGTATGTTTTATTTTTTAATATTGATATGCATTTCTCATATCTCCTTATTTTTGTGCTTTATGGAATGAAAATCCCTACAATATTGAGTTAAGTCCACACGATTCAAAACAAAGAATGAAAAGCACATGTGATGATGACTGGTCCCTGAGAACTCAAAGAAGCATCTAACATGCATCTGAACAAGGGACCTGCAGAGACCTTCGCAGTAGCCATTCCCCAAACTAGACTCTTGGGTCCAGAATAGAATGTATCTCAGAATCCATTGTTAAACAATTTCTGTGGTTCCCACAGACTAAATCTTCAGGTGAGAACCTCCATTGTCAAACCCACAGATTTGATGTTCTAACCACATGATAATATCAAGGGTAGCAAGCAAAACACAAACCTAAGAATTCTACTCTTGAAATGACACACCACAAGACTCTTTTGTTAACATCCTGTTCCTGGTTACCTATGCTTTTCTAATATTTTAATGGTGATGAGGAGGAGAAATACATAATTCAATAACTTTATGATATCACCTAGTATAAACAGTTTAAAACTTAATTCCTCACCTGAGATTGTCTTTGCACAGAAGTCTCCTTTACAAGATGCACATCTATGTCATCAAAATTTCACACTTATCTTAGACTTGAGAAATCAGACTGGACTGAAAGCTGTCCTCCCAGAAATCCATGCCTTGGCCTCATTTTCAGCCAGTAGGCAAATCCATAACTTCATATATTTTGATAGATGTGCATATAAAATCTGTGGAATCGAAAGTCAAGTTATCATTTCTTAAAATTAATAATGCACAATTTTTTCCTATTGTATTCCCTATCTAGATTTTCCAAATATTGCCCACATTTTCTATTTTTAGATATATTTCTTTCAGCTTTCCTTTATTATTTCTTTCAAAAGATCTTGACTAAAATACAGTCATTGTTTTATGTTAAAGTTTATGTTAGTATAAGATATTTACATGAAAATTCCAAAGAAAACACTAAACTCTATAAGTAATACCTTAATTTTCTTTTTATTAAATGAAAGTCTTAGGTAGTACTTCACCCTAGGATCTTTGGAAAGATTCTTAAAGTTTTGGAACAGTTCATCTTGTTTGGAGCATTTCTTTATGAGTTTTGGCTATCTCTCCTTATGATCCTCTACATTCATCTTCTGTCCCTAAAACTCACCCTGTAAATATCATCTTAAGTGTTCTCACCAGAAAAATTCGCCAGCTATAGTAAACACTATGCATTCATTAGTTACTTCTAATTGCCTGATGGCATATAATTCTGTATAACCTTTAATCTGCTGAGTTATCGGATTCTATTCACTGAGTTATGACCAGATAAATAATAGATATGTACATGAAAATTGCAAACTTGTATGATTTCTAAGGCAAGTCATGCAGGTCTATGATAAGAACTTCAGGAAATCACTCTGTATTCTCGTTGTAAAAGTTAGGTACTTCCCTAGTTGCAAAAGAGTCAGATTTGAGTTCTGCTCTGATCATATTTGAGTTTAAGGCCCTTTGTGGTATAATAAAGTTATAGAAGTTGCATTCCAATGGCTAAAGCCATACTGTTTCTAAGGCTGATGGCTGTACCCCAGCAGCTGAAGCCTGCACTTTTATGCTCCCAATATGGTTGAGCTTTAAGCCTACAGTTTCAGCAACAACGCTTACATATGCACACACACAAATGAAATCTAAATCTTTTCTGTGCCTCTTAAATGAGGAAAATGAAAACATGAAAAACAGAACACCCCAAAAGGGTGTCACATAAAAATTACATGAGCTGATGACTTTGCAGTAACTCAAAGTTTCTTTTTTCCATGGCCTACCAGGAAGCTTTCCTGGTTTAATAATAATGATGCCTACCAGCTTGACTTGTAAATTAAACCTACTCCACAATCCTAGGCCTTCATAGATTTACACACAGATTCTTTTTGAAATTAAGTCTCCAGGAACTAGAAATTAGAGTGGTAGCAGCAGTTTTCCATAGAAGCAAGCATATTGACACATAGATGGAAGACTTGTTATTCGAGTTTCAGTAACTCATCTTCATATACATTACAAGGAGGCAAGAGAATGCTTTATCATATCTGGTGGCTGAGTATAAAATGCCATATCAGCAGTATGATTATCAAATGTGACAGTAGATCTCTGGATCGTCACCTGATTATTTAGTAGAACTGCTTGTAACATAGCTTAGAAACAAGTTAAACATGGAGGATGAATTACCTTCACATCCCTGAAGATGAGGTGTCTTTAGTCTCCTGATTAAGATTTGGTATTGTTTTCTTGGCACTCTAATCATCGTGTTACAGATGGTGCTGTGCATTATGGGTAGTCAGCTATCTGCAGGATCGAAAGATTGAAGATGTTGTCAAGGGAATCTTTTCAGAGTACCAGTTAAGTGGGAGGGATATGAGACATATGGATGGCAGTAACAGATTGTGCCTCTGGATGTTACTGGAGGCTTGGTGAGCCACATCCAAACAAGCCTATGGAGGTGTGGTGATGGGCAAAGTAATCGGCATCCTACCCCCCAACCCCAAGCAAATACAAGAAATAATCACAGCCCTACAACATGACCCAAGTAGGGCCAGAATTATGCCTTCATTTATCACACAAGCTCCAACCACAGAGAGTCTGACAAGTTTGTGTTTGATGTTGGCTTGGCTTAGTATTTTTAATTAGCTTTGGATTTTTTAGTGGCTTTGTCATATTACTGTCTGAGTTTTGTAGGTAGGATTAATTTGAAAAGAGTTTGATAGTGTGGTCCTTGGGGTAGAATTTACCTGTAAGCATGTTGTTAGCCTGCCTATAGACTGTTAATTACTTAATAATCTCATTGGAAAAACTAGTAGTTTTATATTCAGGTGACATAATTGGAGAAAGCAGACTAGCTTCTGTGGCTTTTGAAGACAAGGTTGAGATATCTTTTTTTTTTCTTTTATGTAGTGAAATGAAAAGATCCAAATCTTCAGTCAAAAGTAGCAAAATAGATGCCATTGCCTAAAATGTATTTTGCTCAGTTTTCAAATGGATGGATGGTTAAAGGCATTGGAATTGGTCTGCATTGGAAAGATGCTGGTTTAGTTGTACTGTACCTGAAGCTATCAAAATTGGATTTTGTTTTATTCAAAGTTGGATCCCGGAGGTTGAAGTTAGAATTTGAAGTTGAAATCATTTTGAAGGCAGACTCGATTAAGTAGTGAGAGTGAAGCCCTACTTCCTTCTCACAGACATAATAAAGATCACCTGCATGAGTTAGCAGGTGGGAGAACCAAACTGGATCACTGGGTAGGAGTACTCAGTAAAGCAACACACTGCTTGCTTAGAGAAGCATCACTATCCCCATTGAGAAAAAAATGGGTGATTCGGTGCCCCCAAATTCAATTCTTTGGGAAAAATGTTGAGCCAGTTGTCAGTGTTGTGTTCCAACTGGCAGACTCGATTCTTTGTCATCCTTGTTCTTGTTGTTGCTGTTGTTGTTTCACATTTCTGCTCACACAGCCTTATTGTCATAATTAAACTCTGATTCATTTTCTCTTTGGTGTTAGCAAACTCCAGTGACAGAAATGGCATCTGTGTATTGATAATCAGCATTTACCCTGGCAGGGGACTAATCAGATAGGCTGGTCTCAGACATTAATCCTACCATCTGATATTTCCAGCAAACGAGAAAGTGTTAGTTCCCTTTCCATTCCCCTCCTCATGAATCTAGAAGCCCTCTGTACCAAGAGCATCACATTTTCCTCTGTAATCTTTTAACAAAAAGTAAATTGTATTGTGGGGAGGGCAGAGGGGGGTGTGGGTGGGGGGGCGGAGGGTGGGAAAGCCCTTGGAGGCCAGACTGCAGTTCATGCCCCGTCCTGCTTCTGACATAAAGTGTTAAAGAATCATTCATAGTGCTCACACTGGGTTAGGGGATGCTGAACTGCTTTTCAGATCCATGGTCAATCGTTCTTCTGAGATTGGAGCTTTGCTGTTTCATTAACTGTGCAGTGTAGACTAACGGTGTTTAATAAAAATCATTTAAAATTGCAAACTCTTTTGCCAGTGACTTCGATTTTCTTGTCTGCTTTATTGTCTCAGACTTTGAGGAGGGATGGGGAAGAAAAAGGAATTGGCTAATGGGTTGATGGTGGGATGCTGTAGCAGCAAAGCCAGGCCTGCTTACCAGCCAGCAGTTGCCTGTAAGTGGTACCATACAGAATGTCCTGAAGAATGGCTTGGTGGATGCTTTCACCTTGTTCATATGGAGAAATCATGAGTTCATCAGTATCCACTATAGGATACTAACTGCCATATTCAGAGGTGATTCCAGTGTTTTACAGAGTTGGCTCTGTCCTGTATCACTTTTGTGGCTACTAAACCGGCATGTCTCAAAGTAGAGCCCAATATGGTGACAATAACCAAATGCATCCCAGATGCTCAGATTTTTCTGTGGTCCTTCAAGGCTTCCACTGAAGAAAACAAAGTTAGCAAAACCTCAAGAGCATGGGTGGATGCTCAGGTAACTTTAGTGTACCAACATTACCAACCACTTGATGCAATGCCCCACATTCATAGCACTTTCCAATTTGCATGATCTACATTCTAACAACATGCTGAAACCAAATTTGACAATTGTGACCTTACTGAAAACAAACTTGAAAAAGATGAATATTATCATTTCCTGTGAGCTAAAGCAAGCTAGCTCCAACACATTACTTGAGACAACCAAAGAGGGTTCATGTTTCATACATTTGCTTATATGGATATTCATGTACACACCTACTTTAAAAACTAAAATATATAAGTTTAAATAAGAAACAACCTCTTAGTGAAGCTGATTGATGATGAGGCCCTGGGAGTATGGGGAATTCTAGAAGTCTGACTTTGAATCTGGAGCTAACTAGACATTATGAAATCCTCAACAGTTGAACACAAATAGATTAGTGAAGATGCAGGTATTGGCTCTGCATCTCAAAGACAATATGGAAGTGAGACCAATACTTAAAAATTACCATAAGTCATCTATAAACATAAAGAATAAAAA